GGTTGGCCAGAATAATTCCTTTCATTCTCATCTTTATAGATAGCTGTTGTAGCAGTCATGTGTAAACCACATCGTTGTCCTCACATTAATATGACTGGAAATATTTGTGTATATTGTCCAGGAGGACCAGATTCTGATTTTGAATATTCAACACAAAGTTATACAGGGTATGAACCAACTTCAATGAGAGCAATTAGGGCTAGATATGATCCATATCTTCAAACAAGACATAGGGTGGATCAGCTAAAGCAATTGGGCCATAGTGTAGATAAAGTTGAGTTTATTATAATGGGAGGGACATTTATGAGCCTTTCTGAAGATTACCGTGATTATTTTATTAAAAATTTGCATGATGCGCTTTCTGGTCATAAAAGTGAAAACGTTGAAGAATCTGTTAAATACTCTGAGCGATCTAATGTTAAATGCATTGGTATTACCATTGAGACACGGCCTGACTACTGTACTCCTAAACATTTAACAGATATGCTTGATTATGGATGTACAAGATTAGAAATTGGTAAAGAATATTCACTAAATGTAGTTTTATTTTTTAAAATCGTTATTTGTAGGTCTTCAGTCTGTTTATGAAGATGTAGCCAGAGATACGAATCGGGGGCACACTGTTAAGTCAGTTATTGACACCTTTAAATTTTCAAAAGATTGCGGTTTTAAAGTAGTAACCCATATGATGCCAAATCTCCCAAATGTTGACATAGAAAGAGACATTGAACAGTTTGTTGTAAATAAAGAAGTTTAATTTGTGAATACAATAAATGAATGTACACGCTTGTTTCAGGAACTTTTTGAAAATCCAAATTTTCGACCTGATGGAATGAAAATCTATCCTACCCTAGTTATACGCGGTACCGGTTTGTACGAATTGTGGAAGACCGGTCGTTACAAAAGCTACCCTCCCTCAGTATTAGTAGACTTGATTGCAAAAATTCTTTCTTTAATACCTCCTTGGTGTAGGGTTTATCGAGTCCAACGTGATATACCTATGCCCTTAGTAAGGCAAGTATAAGTTCAGCACTAAAAGATTTCTGTTACTACATGCATTGATAATTTTTTACAGCTCGGGAGTCGAACATGGAAACTTAAGGGAGCTGGCACTTGCAAGAATGAAAGATTTGGGGCTTAAATGTAGAGATGTAAGAACAAGAGAAGTTGGAATTGCTGAAATTCACTCAAAAGTAAGGCCTAATCATATTGAGTATGTAAGAAGAGATTATAGTGCAAATGGTGGATGGGAGAGTTTTTTAAGCTATGAAGATCCTGAGCTGGATATACTTGTGGGCTTATTGAGGTGAGAAAGTATTATTTAAAAGATAGCCAATTTATTTTATAATTGGATGTTTTTTAGATTAAGAAAGTGTGCTCCTGAAACCACCTTTCGAGCTGAGCTTAAAGGGAACTGCTCCATAATTAGAGAATTACATGTTTATGGTAGTGTAGTTGCTGTTCACGAACGAGATCCACAAAAATTTCAGCACCAAGGCTACGGAGCCCTCTTAATGGAACAGGCAGAACGGATTGCAATTAAAGAACACAGATCTACAAAAATTGCTGTCATCTCAGGTGTGGGAACGCGAAATTACTACAGAAAATTTGGATATGAACTTGAAGGCCCATATATGGTAAAAAGTTTAGTAAATAATTACAAGAGTGCCCTCGATCTTTACGAAGGAAAGTTTAAATATAAGAAGTCTGGCCTTATTATATCTGAAGAATTAGCGAAAGTGCGAGATCTCGAAACTGATGAAATGTTTCTCCAAACCTTTCGGGAAAAATACAAAGCACTTGGCAAGTAAGATTTATTTCATCTTTACCTTTTTTATTCACTATTCCTTAATTTGAAAACAATACAATTATTGAATTGTTTTAAACTTATACTACTAGTTACGTTTCTTGTTTCAAAGGAACATAAAAACTCAAAAAAAACGCCATTTTACTTGAATGGGAAAAGATAAGTAATTTTACTCAAAAGAAATGTTCTTATATATTTTAATTTTTCTTGTTGTACACATAAGCTACACATTAAATTGACTACCTTAGTGATAAAATTTATCAAATTCTCATTTTTAGACAACATTTAAACATCAAAGATTTCATCAAACGTACATGACTTACAGATTAACTTTCAAATTAAAACTAGTAATAGCTACGTAATCATTCCATAAAAGTAATAAAAAAAGGTCTAAATTGATATTATATATTCAATAACTGATCAGTCCATATAATCAAAATGTAATTCAAGCAAAAACAAACATTCATGAAATCGTTTACTGCGGGTTCGGTTGTGGCGGATAATTGTAACCGTATTGACCTTGAGGGGGAGGCCCTTGTCCGGCTGGCGGTCTCGGATACTGATAGCCTTGAGGTTGACCTCCATAATGGGGTTGAGGTGGATATCCGGATTGTGCCCCATAACCGTAATTACTAGGCGTAGGTGCAGGAGGATATGATTGATTCGGTGCCGAATACGCGGCTGGTGAAATATTTGAAGGTTGCGTACTTGAAGGGTAGGGCGCTTGATAGGGTGCCTGGCTAGTAACAGGAGCTGGGCCTGGTGCAGACGTAACTACGGGTGCCTGTGTATTTGGCGGAGAACCGGTAAATGGAGGAGATTGAGTATTACCAGGTCCGTAATTGGCTGGTCCTGGACTTGGTTGGCCAGAATACGTCGGAGCCCCTTGAGGCTGGCTGCTAGGTGGTGGAGGAGGATAGTTTTGAGGTTGTGGAGGGTAACCCTGTTGGGGTGGATAATTTTGAGGACCGTTTGCTGCTGGAGGATATGGTGATGAAACTGGAGGAGCACCATAAGAGGAAGGCTGATTATGTGCAGGAGCACCTGGAGGTGGGTAGGGAACAGACTGCGGAGGAGCACCATTTGGAGGTGGTGTCCCATATCCTGACTGAGGATAAGTGCTGTGGCTTGTTGTGGATGGTAATTGCCCATATGCTGGCTGAGAACCTAAAAATAAATCGTTTTGTTTGAACTACACATATCAAATTCTTAAACATTATTGTTAAAATTACCTGCAGGATATCCTGGTGGTTGGTTGGGTGGATTTGATGGAAATTGACTTTGCTGGGGATATGAAGTCCCTTGGGGTATAAACTGACCTGGATATTGACCTTGTTGGTATCCACGTTGAGGATAAGGTTGAGGAGTCCCAGCTGGCCTTTGAGGAATAGCAGGTTGACGGTAGCCTTGCTGCTGTTGGGGATTGTAATTGTTAATGTGCTGTTCTGTGCTTGATGGGGGTATAGAAGGAGGATTTGCACCAGGAGGAGGCTGCATTTATAACAAAAGTATCAAAACAATTGGTTTATTACTTTGAACTTAATGTCTACTTACTGGTAAAAGGGCATGCACATTCTGTGATGCATCTGCAATGCTTGCTAGGTACACTAAATTCCTATGAAGGACTTGCTGATATTGTAAACATTCTTGAGCTTTGCCCTTACTTTGATACTCTTGAATGGTTTGTATTAAATGGCCATTTTCATCCAGCATTTTCTGGATCTGTGCAGGGTTTGGAGGAGGCCTGTTATTTCTTTGGACAAACGTCAGCGACATTGTCCTCTTAAAAACGTTCTAATAGAAGTGTACTTAATGAGTCTGAAAGATTGTCAATGAAAGCAAATTTGCAAAAGATGTTACTAAAAGTAGCAAAATAATAACGTGGTTTTAACTTATTTATATACTATGAAGACCATTTGAAAGTATTAAAGTGTTATAATTGGTTAAAATTTCAATTTCTAATATAATTTAACAATAAACACCAAAACTGACGCGTAATATACGTAACAGTAGACATAACCAATAAAAAAAGTGACCTTGTCTATGAGTGACTGGAAAGTGACATATCATAGATGATAGATACACAAAGGGTGACATATTGTTTAACGATTATCTATGAATGTGACCATTGACTTCCGTAGAAGAATGTGTTTATTCAACCATTTAAGAAATAATAAAATTGAGGATTTTTTGTATCCAGTTATGGTATAAAGAGAATAATGAATTTCATGATGAAGTAGAGTTGATTTGATTATTTTGAAGTGCTATTTTTTGTATTGGAGTTATTTAGTTTAGTGAAACCAAAATACGTCTGTTTAACCACAGTCGTTTTACGAATATAACCCTATCTATGGACATAACATCTATGGATATAACCTCACAAATATACGTGATGATAACTGAAGTTTTTATTTGTAATTTAAGTTTTAAAAGTGATTATAAGTATTTTTTAATTGTGTTGTTAAATATTAAATGAAAATGCCCTCCTCAGCAGATAAAGAATCTTTTCAAATAATATTTGTAAGTAAGACAACGTTTTTTAAAGTTTCGCGTTTCTTAATTTTTTCATTCACTTTTATAGACCGACGAAGATCTTCCTTATGAAGAAGAAATTTTAAGAAATCCATTTTCAGTAAAACATTGGCTTCGTTATATAGATCATAAGAAGAATGCACCAAAAAATGGAGTAAATATTATATATGAAAGGGCTCTAAAAGAATTACCTGGATCTTACAAGTTGTGGTACAATTATTTGAGAATCAGAAGGCAACAAGTTAAGAAAAAGTGCATTACAGATCCACTGTATGAAGAAGTAAACAATGCTTTTGAAAGAGCTTTAGTTTTTATGCATAAGATGCCTAGAATTTGGATGGACTATTGTACATTTCTAACTGATCAATGTAAAATTACCAGGACTAGGCATGTTTTTGACAGAGCACTTAGAGCACTCCCCATTACTCAACATCATCGAATATGGCCTCTGTATTTATCATTTGTTAAAAAGCATAACATTGCAGAAACTGCTACTAGAGTTTTTAGAAGATACTTAAAATTATTTCCAGAAAATGCTGAAGAGTACATTGAGTATCTTACAGAGGTTGATAGATTAGATGAATCAGCAGTTATTTTAGCTAAAATAGTAAACGATGAGAACTTCGTATCACAGCATGGCAAATCTAACCATCAGCTTTGGAACGAACTTTGTGATCTTATATCAAAAAATCCTGATAAAGTTCATTCTCTAAACGTTGATGCAATCATAAGAGGTGGTTTGAGAAGATATACTGATCAATTAGGACACTTGTGGAATTCTTTGGCTGATTATTACGTCCGTAGCGGCTTATTTGACCGCGCCAGGGACATATATGAGGAAGCAATACAAACAGTTACCACTGTTAGAGACTTTACTCAAGTTTTTGATGCTTATGCACAATTTGAAGAATTAAGTTTGAGTAAAAGAATGGAAGAGGTAGCTAAAATGTCCAGTCCAACAGAAGATGATGACATCGATTTAGAACTACGTTTGGCAAGATTTGAATACTTAATGGACAGGCGTTTACTCTTATTAAATTCCGTATTATTACGACAAAATCCACACAATGTGCAAGAATGGCACAAAAGAGTTCAGTTGTATGAAGGAAAGCCTCATGAGATAATAAATACATACACTGAAGCAGTACAAACAGTGGAACCAAAATTAGCAGTGGGAAAGCTCCACACATTGTGGGTGGAATTTGCTAAATTTTATGAGAAAAATGGTCAAACAGAAGATGCGCGCCTGATTTTTGAAAAGGCCACTTTAGTACCTTTCATTAAAGTCGACGATTTAGCTACAGTATGGTGTGAATGGGCAGAAATGGAAATCAGAAACGAAAATTACGAAGACGCGTTAAAGCTGATGCATAAGGCAACTGTTATACCAAGCAAGAAAATTAGTTATCACGATGAATCCGAAACTGTACAAGCAAGGCTTTACAAATCATTAAAGCTCTGGTCTATGTACGCAGATCTGGAAGAAAGTTTTGGAACTTTTAAGTCATGCAAAGCCGTATACGATCGTATTTTAGACCTCAGAATTGCTACTCCTCAAATAATAATAAATTACGGCTTGTTTTTAGAAGAGCACAACTATTTTGAGGAAGCGTTTAGAGCATATGAAAAGGGTATATCACTTTTTAAATGGCCAAACGTGTACGATATTTGGAATACGTATTTAACAAAGTTTTTAAAACGTTATGGGGGATCAAAACTTGAAAGAGCAAGAGATTTGTTTGAACAGTGTTTGGAAAACTGTCCAAGCAAGTTTGCCAAATCAATATATCTGTTGTATGCCAAATTAGAAGAAGAACATGGAATGGCTAGACATGCCATGGCTGTTTATGAGCGAGCCACTCAAGCTGTACCTCAAGAAGAAATGTTTGAAATATTCAATATTTACATTAAAAAAGCCGCCGAAATATATGGAATACCGAAAACCAGGCAAATCTACGAAAAGGCCATCGAGGTCCTTCAAGAAGATAAAACAAGGGAAATGTGTCTACGATTTGCCGAAATGGAAACTAAACTTGGAGAAATTGATAGAGCAAGAGCTATTTACGCCCATTGTAGTCAAATTTGTGATCCTCGAGTTACTATCGAATTTTGGCAAACATGGAAAGAATTCGAAATTCGGCATGGCAATGAAGACACCATGAGGGAGATGCTAAGAATCAAACGTAGCGTGCAGGCGACGTACAATACACAAGTAAATATGATGTCCGCCCAAATGCTTGGTTCAGCTACTAGCACTGCTGGAACTATAGCCGACTTAGCTCCGGGAGCGAAAGACGATATGCGACTTCTTGAAGCAAAAGCGTTTGAAATGTCTGGATCATCTGCTACTAAATCTGGAAACATTATGTTTGTAAGAGGAAATACTCAAGGTGATGGTGGTGAAAGTGCCGATAAAGTCGTTAATCCTGATGAAATTAACATAGATGACGAAGAACAGAGTGAGGACGTTATAATTGAAAAGCAGAATGTTCCAGTTGAAGTATTTGGAAACCTAAGGAAAGAGTCTGATGAAGAAGAAGAAATGTAATTAAGTAAGTTTTTCATAATTAAAATAATTTAACTCTTCTACGGAATTTATTTAAACAAGAATGATTTTCAAACATCTTTATTTTTATTGCACACAGAGGTACAACACAGTACTTTCTTTCAGTTTTGAACGAATGTGTAATCATATTTGTACATTCTGTGTAACTTTTTGCCTTAAAGTTTAAATGTTAATTTTGCGCACATTTTATAGTAAAGTGCTAAGCTATTTATTTATTTTATTTATAAAATGAATAATTATGACAATTTTAGAAGCCTTATAAAATTAATAATTGATAAAAAGAGGTCGGTATATATTTAAAATGATTTTAACATGGCAAGAAACACGAAATTGGTATCATTTTATAAATAACCTAAATAATATGTTTTGGGGCTCCAATAAAATGCAAAGAATTAGAAACTTGATTTTTAAGATTGGTGGTGCATGCTATTCCATTTGCTTCCTTTTGAATACCTCCAAACATGATAAGTTCTGACTTTCCTGCAACCAAAGTGTAAAGAATGGTCTCTTCAGGTCCTTGGGTAAATGCACCGTCATTCTTCACCGGTAGCCACGTAACACTAGGGTTTTCATCGGTGACATGCGAAATGTCTAAAACGTACATTCCTAACACGTTTATTTTTTGTTTCTTTGGGGATGGAACTACACAAATTTCGCTCGGTTGGGGTTTACCATTGCCATTACAATTCGAAAATTGGCTTCTTAATTTCTCTTCTAATCTACGAAGCCGTTCTAATCTTTCTTTTTGTTTATCTTCAGGGATTTTACGTCTACAATGTAAACTTGACCTATTTGATAAATCATCAGTCTAAAAATATAAAATATTCACTGTTTTATATAAATATAAAACAATTTACGTTTTGAAAACTTTACCTCTGCTTCTCTTTGGTCTTGTCCTTTTTTATTGTTACTGCTGTTATTGCCACTTTCATGACTAGCACCAGGTTGCGGTTGAGTCCCGATATTTTCTGTTTTGCTCCTAAAAAGGCCTCTTTTTCCATTTACATTCTCATCTCGATCTACCGTCCGATTTGCTGAATCGATTCTTTGGTTTTGTTCAGCAACACTCTCTACTGGAGGAATCCACACTCCTTTTGAATAATACACGAACTTTAGAGAGCTGTTAGTTCGACAACGGCTAAGAACAATTATTTTATCTCCTACCTACAAGAATTATAATATGGATTTGAAAATTAGTAAATATATGGTAATTAAGACGAACTTTAACTTACTTTGCATACAGGATTACACCAAAGGGTAGGAGGAGCATCATTACTATTTTTGATTTCTACTTTCTTCCATTTCCACAATGGACCATCCATGATCAAAAGCCAGGAATCAGAATAATTAAATTTAGGTCCTCCACAACCACCCATTATGAGTATATGTTTGTCATCAAGGGCAGTTTGTGAATGACCATATCTTTCAGTTGGTTTTACATGCCCTAAAAAAATAATCTTGTTAATATATACAAACAGAAAGTGTTTCCTTCATATACCAATTACTTCTTGTTTATGCCATGTCCATGTCTTCAAATTAAGTGTCCAAATATCATTGGATTTTATGGAATGAACAACATTATTGGCTCTTTGAAGGCCTCCAAAGACTACCATAATATCTCCATGAACAGTTGCTGAATGACCAGCAGTGGGTGGTGGAGAAACCTCTGTATTTATTGAAGTCCACCTATTTGCAGGAATGTCATATGTGTGTAACTCATTAAATAGATGTATGCTCTGATGAAGGGGATATGCTGGAGGATATGTCCAGCCACCAAATAACACTAAAGGTTCAAAATATCATGATTTACTGTGCGTTTCAAAATCGATTAGAATTTATAAATACCTAATTCATTTTTATAAGAGACCATTGAACAGCATGCTTTTGGAGAAGGGTAAGTTCCCATTGTGAGAGGTCTAATCCATTGTCTTTTTGATAAATCAAGCCTCCATAAATCATTGAATGTTGTCATAGTGCAAGTGCAACCACCAAAAACATACATTGAATCTTCATGTACAGCTGCTACATGAGAATATCTCTTTGTTATAGCAGGGGCCATTGGCATAGGGGTTAGGGAGTGCCATGATATATCAAAATCAGAAATTGCTTTATACAAGTTCCTAATTCTTGTTTTGGTAACATCTTAAAAAGGCATTGAACTTAATATTTAATATTCTTTTGCAATTTATAAACAATTCTTAAAATAACCTATACAAAGGAAGTGCTTTGTTTGAGACCCTAAAATTAGAAGTATGAGTAAGCGAAAATACTCACTGCAAACGCATTTCCTCCATCTCTTCGAAACTAGCATACACTGATGAAGATCTTTGTAGGGTGGAATTAAACTTAAAATAAATTCCAGGACTTCATCGGGAAGATCTTCCACAGTGCACATTTTTTTACATAAATTTGCTTCCATGTTCCCTTAGACGCTGCACAAACTCACATCAGTACTACGTGTCTAGCTTGAATAAAGTATATATTGCGAATGAATTTGATTTTTGCTACATGTTTTCATTTCTTCGATACCAAAATAAATCTTTGAATTCCTAACCAAATATTTTTCTTCTGATATTTTGACGTCATTTAGTCATCATGCAGTTCATATGAGGCCTCTAGCGGAAAATGGTGAAGTTAACAGTTTAAAATAGAAGTACATGACAGGTTACTATCTAAGATTAGTTAGTTTAGTAAGACCACTTTATCACAGGCAGCTGTGCAGAGAACTTTCTCGTTAATATGCCGCGGATTTTAATTTGTAATTGACCACAAATTATGATTTTATCGAAAATAAACTACATTTTATCGTATTCCTTATTCAAGAAATGATTGAGTATTTTACTGATGTCAGTGAAAGTATGTGTTTTATTTGTTAAGTGAAATGAAGGTATAACCTCAACATTACCTTTTTAACTCAAGTTTTTAAAATAAAACAGAAAATGCCGATTATAATTCATTTAGAATCAATTGGGAAACATTTTAGAAACCTTACACATTTTATCCCTGGTGGATTTTCCCTAACTACAAAACAAAAGGTTGATATCTTGTTATTTAGCTTAATGTTCTGTTATTTATTAGTTTAATTTGTTCCAGGTTGTAATTTTATCGGTCGCCTCCAGCGTAGCTCTGCTGGGAGTCCTTGCCAAGTATATGCGACGAAAAAGACAAATTGTGGATCCCATGAAGCTCAAGAAGCAGTACAGTCGAAGAGTCAGAAATTCTGGACTCAAAAGCCCTAATGGAGGTAAGAATTAACTGCTTGCTTAAATATATCAGACTTTATTTAAAATACTGCACTCTAAAATATCACAATTACTTGGATAAAAGTTGTATAGGTAGTTATTATGGTCATTTATCTAAAATCAATCACTTTTCCATGCAATATTTAATAATGTTTGTTTTGCAGATGTCGTAAGTTTAGCAAGCAGTACTCGTAGAAGTGGTGCATATTATGATAGGATCTCTGCTACAAGGCAAAATTCAGTACTTGGCGTTACCAGTGAAAAAGGATCAGTTGCATCAGGGAGTGGCATGAAAGCAATCGCATCTACCTGCGTAATTAATGAAGCTGGTGATGGAACTCGTTTAACTCCACAGCAATTGGGTGTTATGGGTAAGTCAGTTAACAATTTTATTTATTTTGCTACTCTTTATTGAAGGATTTCTTAAAGATTTAATTATTTAATGGTACATGTTAATAATGTTGGTATAGTATGAAACAAAAAGTTGGATGTCACGATAAGTAAGACATAAAAAATTATTAATCTGATAAAAATATTATATGGGTGCCTGATTTTATGTAGGTTTGAATGATTTATTTCTCGTTTTCAAAAATTTCGGTGTTATTATTCTTTAAAATATACTCTTTTACGGAAGTATTAATAGAAAGTATGCAACCCAACATACACCTTGCATATCCATGTTGCAGAGATTAATTGCTCTTAATATTTTTGTTTACATTTGAAATTATACTAAAAATAAGCAAAAACTAAATTTAATAAATTCGGTTTTGACTTTCATTGTTTTAAATTTTTGAGTTTTGCTTTTTGTTAAAATTTTGTTTTTTAATTTTTGGCTATTTAACTAAATATGTTTAATTACTCTTCAAGAGTCGTATCTGGTTACTAGAGTAACGTGAATTTATATTTTTAAAATCGATATTAGTGTTAGGGATTGCAGTCGTATTTAAAATAGTAATAGTAACAAGGAGGATTTATGAGCATGCAAGAAGTAGGGCGCAGACGACATGTCGTCAAGAGTGCTACGTAAAAAGCTAGCGTCGCGACGCACCCCTGGCGCCGTTCGGACTTCTTGTCTGTAATCGACCTTCGACATAAAAAGATAGCGGTAAAACTCCGCATTTCCTGATTTTACACATTGTTACAGTAAAATATCGAGAAATACAAAATTTTCGTTTTTTTAATAACCATTATCAGGATTATCTCAAGGCTAATAACGATCGTAATAGAAAAGTCAGTAAAGTGCTTCTGTTTCTTTTTATTTTTGTTTATCTACAATTACATGAGTATATGTTACAACAAATATTGGTTACTATTCACAGATTATAATTTACGATTTATAATACGCTATTTAGGTCGGATTGTATTCATATTCAGTGCTTAAATGGCTTTTTTTCTGAAGAGGAACTATATAATACAAATATCGTAATCTTAAATATAAATATACACACATATATGTATAATATTATGTGAAAGAGATGCTATAAAGGTACTGAGAAAAATTTTAACACAAACGTTTTCGTTTCTTACTTTTACTCAAACAAAAAAAGAACAGGGAATGTCCTCAATACAGTTTTTTGAAGACCTAAATTTAATAGTAACTATTATTAACTAAATAATTTTTAACTTCAGTAAAGCTATAAATAATAAATTAATGCATGGAGATTAACTATAATCAATTAGAACCTTTTTCGAAAACTTGGTAGGTGGAAAGAGGCACATGCGAAGAAATATTTTATAAATACAAATTTTTATGCAGAAAGCTTTTTCAGACACTGTAACTAGACATGCATCGATAGAAATATACATATTTAGAGAGCTTTTTTTGCTAATTTAGATTGCAGCAGATGATTTAATTTTAAAATTTGTTATATTAATTATAAACAATCAAAAGACGTGATTGAATGAAAATAACGCGAAAGTGGAGGTGATTTAATTAATAAGGAAAACAAAGTGTATAATACATGGGTATCTTTTTAGTACTGAACTATTTTTTTGTACTTTCTCTCGTAACTGCCAATGCTTTACCATGTAAAATCCCCGCAAAACATAATTAACGCTATACACGTTACACTGGTACAATAGGTACCTATTGCTTGCTAGTAGCTACAAATGGGTTTCTCGCTTGAAAAAATATCATCTCTCTAGTTATTATTCAAACCTATGTATATCTATCTAGAAAACGTCGGTACGTTTACATACATACATACATAGCTTATAGCTACACTACATTTGGACGTAGTTATTATCTGTGTACGAAAAATATCACCGTTGTCAACTCGTCTCTCTATACTCTTTTCATAATCGACTTCTTAACTTTTCACTTATTTACACGTCGGATTATAATAATACAATAATAATATATTTACACGATCATCAGAACAAATAATAATGAAGGAATGTAAATTCTAATACGCTAGAAGAGGAAACGAATGATGGATATTAATTAATAGTAAGGGATTTTTCACACCCAACACCAATTTTTGTTCGCTCGATGTAAAAAGTTTCCCAAAACTGACCAATCTTAGAAATATGTACACTCACATACAACAACATTCACCCAACTCACATACGATCATTCTACAGTTGCAAGCAGAAGCTTTGTATTATACTTTATATCACTACCTTCAACATCTCATTTTTATTTGTTTAATTTCGCATTCGAATCTTACGAAATTTTGAAAAGGCATATCGATAATAATAACAGTGCTGATGGCATCAAGTTAAAGACAATGCCTCCTCCTCTAACGATAGAGGCACCAGAATTTATATCTTCTTGGGTATCGAGCATCTTCTTCTTCAACTGTTGGGCTCCACTGTCATCCGCCATGACATCGTTTTCTCCCTTGTTGTCTATAGCAGACGAGGCACCGTCCTCAGCAATCTTCTTCTTTCCAACGGTGGTCTCTTCGATTGCCGGCGGAGTCAATGGAACGGCTTCCTGAGTCGTTGTCGTCAATTTTGTCGTGGTCCTCGTCGTGGTCGTGGTGGTTGTCGTGGTGGTCGTTGTCGTCGTTGTGGGCACGTAACTGTTATTGTGGATAAAGAACGCCCTTCCGTACTCCACTTTCAAGTCGAACATGGACGTTTCTCGTCGGCTTTCTTTTATCAAACGCTCTTTTGTTTCGCCGTCTTTGTAATATGCGATTACGGTTGCCGTGTAGGGGATATCTAGCTCCCCGTAGTTCCCGAATAGTGTGGCCTCGACGGCGGTTCCCGGTGCCAGGAAATATTCCACCTCGTGAATATTGACTTTTTCCACAGTGTCCGAAATGCTCCATTTTCCGTCGTATGTTGTCTGGTTCGGGAAGATTATGGTAAACGGTAAACCGGTGAGCAGACCGTGACCGTGACCCCAATATAGGGAGTAGGTGAAGTTGTAACTTATCACAGACTCTACCCGTTGAGTTCCCATTTCATCGCTCAATTCGTTTTTGAGAAGAACTTTGCCCAAAACCTTGTGGTTTCTCGGCTTCCTTTTCTTTCTGTAGTCGAATTTTACGTTGATGAATTCGTAACGTTCCGGTTCCGTTTCTACCAATACCTCACCGTCTTCGAATTCGCGTTCGTTATCGTTTTCATCTACAAGGGTGAATTTGCCCAGATTCTCGGAAGGATCCAACTTGCCCATTAGATAATTGAGAGACCCCTCCTCGACCTGTTGATCCCTTGCCCTCCTGGCGATAAAGTTACGGAAAGGTTCTTCGCCTCCGGTTACCGATCCTTGTGGATTGAGCGTATACTTATTGCGTTCAACCCAGCTTATTCTGGCCGATCCTTCGACGTTTATTAATATTTCGTAATTGTCGAAATGATGCACGATCCCGTGCAAAGAGATCGTGCACTTTCTCGTTTTCGGCCGTAATTGCCCTGCTACCCAAAAAACGTTCTGTCTCGCCCTGCAGACGTAAACGGATTCGCTCGAAACGCTGCCCAAGGACTTGTCAGCTGAATCATCTGAAATAGTAAACATCTTTTTTTTGTACTGAAGTTTATAATTGTTCTGTTTCCTTTGTGGCCATCCGAGTACCTAAATAGATTAGGATATTTGAATGTAAGAATTACCTTTAACAACTTGCACTGCTCCTACAACAGCGTTTTCTAAAGTTTTGTTTTGATTGCTACTTGCCGGTAACCATTCCAACGTACTGGATGTAATAACTTGGACGAGATTTTCTGCTAAAATCAACACTTGCGAGTCGCCAGAAATACGAGGAATTGAAATGGCTAACAAAAAAAGGCATAAACCGTACGTCGTCGTTTTTACCCCCATGTTGGTATCTGAAACGAAAAACCAGTATAGCAATGACAATAATTTTCTTCTTGGTACAATCTTTTAGAATTCGTTTTTGCTTAACAAAAGTAGGCGGTTCGCTATACAAAACTTTTACCTCAATTGAAAAAGGTACATTCTCTGATGAATTAAGATTGCCGTTGGTTTCTTCCAACTACATGTGTATGTGATTCATATAAAGTGTAAAGCTAATTAAAATCAATAAGCATGAGAAATTGTTTTCAATTAGGGTACCGCTAATTTAAACCGGTTAACTTTTTACAATCACCCAATCAACCAGAGTGAAAAAATTATTTGAACTTATCGTATCCAATCATCAGATATGAATATGTTATTTTGGAAAATATACAATGCAGTTTTTCATGGCTTTTTAATTTCTATCAACTGGTCTGGCTGGAATGTCTAGTGATGTTGGCTTGATTAAAGGCCTGCATGAATGCATGTATACATGCATATGCATAAGAATATGTTGGTAACCATTATTCAATCCATTCAACCTAATCAGACTTGTCAGTTTCAGTTAAAGTTTATTAGATTCTATATGGCTCTTCCACGTACACCCGTACTGGCATAACGTTTAATGGAACCACTATTATTATTTGCTTTGAAATTTAATAAATAAGGGTGAAAGGAAGAAAGACTTTTTTTCTTCTGTATTCATTGTTGAGGCGTTTAATTTTTGTTACAAAATAATAGTGCCGTTTGTAATAAATAAATTGCCCGATCTTAATATTCTCTACACGTAGCATACTTTTGCATATTGTACCTATTCCGTGCTTAGAGAAGGTAATAACTGCGGCGCCAACAGTTTACATTATTTCGGAATTCACGAAGTATTAGATAAGCACGAGCAAACCGTACCTATTTCGAAAGGCATTCTTTGTCGTGATTAAAAAATGAGTGAGCGAGTAATCTTAGCAATATTATTAGTGGCTTTTTTTCAAGGAAGTTGTTTCCTCGATCGTCAACGGACAAATTTTCATTAGACTGAACTACTTACGTACATCCTGCACTAGTGTGCTCTTTCAGGGCGATTACGTTGTTACTATGACAACACCCGTGTTCTTATCTTGCGTTGTAATACCTAAGCAGGCTGCCTTCGGGGGATTTCCACCCCCACCTTCGACAGGCCGCACAAACGTCTAGTCCTGCGACATACGCTTTTTCATATTCATTTCGCCCTCCATTTCGGTTTTTAATTATTAACTCGCTTAACTCATGAATATCGTTTTTTTACCCTTGATTTTTGAGACCTCTTACGTTTTCCGGAGACAATAAATTTATAGCGAAGAAAAAGAAACGCTCCGTATACGAAAAACTAATTGAACACAGGAAATTTTTATTAATGTAACTCATATGGTTGTGTTATAGTCGTTCATTATCCTAATTAATAGTTTCCATCTGCATATCTTTTGCAACTAAAAAAGTTCCTTTACAGTCGAATTTAAAAAAATTACCAAAATATATGGTACAATTAATTAATCATCTTTATTTTAATTAATTGATTGACTCCCAAGAAGAAAATTCAGTGAACTTTTTCAGATAGTTAATCAACTTTGCAACGATAACGTAAGCAAATACAGTAATTATTAAAAATAAATTTAACACTTTATTTCTTAGTCTGTCTATGCAAATAAATCATTATTCGGGTGCATTAGCCGCATCTCATCGTCAGTAATTATAATCGCAACAATAATTCTTGTCATCATATAAAACCATCGTTACACTAATTAAACGGTTGGTAATTAGGCTGATTTAAAATAAACAGTTAGGTATGTTACTAATAGATATATTATTATAACTTTTTACGTTTCTCTATTATGATAGACAACTTCCTACAATAATAGTGCATATAAAAATCGTAATTAAAAAATAATTGAAACCGTTATAATTATTTTGTTAATTGCAGAAAATATAGGTGCTGCTTTGATTTGCGGTCTACCTGCACTTGGGTAATTATTAATCTCTAAGGACATGATCACTTCGTTCTTGTTGCCTTTTCGTACCATAACTTTCGGTTAAGGTTCGATTAGGCTAGAATCATACGGTTCCAGTAGAAAAAACAACACAAACGAAATGACCGCATCTCAAATGTAGGTAGACCGCAGATTATAAAGAAGCAATTAATAATTCTTCAGATACAATATTTTAGACTCCTTTTTTCATTGCAGTAAAAAAATATACTAACTTAAAATACATTCCTTAAGAATATCATAAAAAAAAACAGGTTTTGCTAGACAATAATATCATGTCAACAAATTATATTATATAAGCGGTTGTCCTGTTCTACGAGGTAAAAAATATTCATGTCTGAAATTACGACACACCTATTCTTAGGTCTAGCTGGTAGGTGATGACCGGTTGATGTCCATCTTCAAAAGTTTCTTCATTATAACGCACATGATAAAAGATGAGTTAATATTTACTCTTGCTCTCTTAATTAATTGCATAGTTAATTAAAACGGTGTAGACCTCTACATCATAAAGATGAATTGAAACTAACTTTAAACATTTCGGAGCATCATAAAAAATAAAGTTAAAATAATGACGTGTCCGTTCTACTCATTAAAAAAAATAAATTTTTATTTTTATTTGGAAAAGTTTGACTTACTTATTTGCCAGCAATGGTTGATTTTGACCAAAAACCTTGACTGGACTCCAAGTAAACGTTGTTGACATATGCAAATTGATTCTAATGAACTTTCTGTGTAAACCTAATTAAGAAAATCCGCATCGTTTTAATTTGTCACGTACGGACATAGAATAGTGACTAGCGGACATACCTATTCGAGATTGTTTAACACGTAATAGCTCTCGTAACGCTTATAGAATACTTCCTTTTTTTTAAAGAAAATGAGAAATTGATTGTGGACAATTTATTAAACCATCGTTTACACAACATATAATCTCACAAACCATTTCTTTTTACCATGTATGGTTAAAGTATGTGCTACTGTAATTGAAAAGTAGGACATAAAGCAATTTTTTATAGGAACCTCTTAAAGCAGCAAGCGTATGTATTTCTAGCAATTCATTTTGGTATATCAAGACTATTGCCTTTAAAGTAGTTGGCAATTTACCATTTGTATTCACTAATCAAAAACGAATTTATAATTAATACCAGTGGAAAATAGTATAAGTTACGTAAACTTCACAAGAAGCATCAGCGATAGATTAGCTGGTGCCTGCCACACGGGCGGCCCATGTCCGGTTTCCAAATTTACGTAATAAGGGGAGGTTAAGGCTACAAGTTGTATAATGGTTCAATAAATGAATCAGGTACATATTACATAAGAATAACAACAATATGTGTTAGTTAAAATGTGTCACATTTCACGAGTTGGATATTTATCACTTGGTAATAAAATCTGGTCATAGCAAACAGTGGTTAAATTGGAGGTCAGCAATTATATTCACGTCTATTTATAGTGAGATTTGCTTTGACATTAATAACAATGCACTTTACAAGTGGAAATGTTTAAATAAATTTGCCTCGTTTACCTAGAATACTTAATCAGTTATTAGCTGTTTTTAACTTTTTCACGTATAACCTCATGCATCTCGGCACTCGCAACATGTTCTGAATAATACATACTGTAAGATACTCTGCCTTTCTATTCGCTTCTTTTTATACGAATATTTAATTAGCTTGTCGTTGGAAATAAAAGACAAAGACACTCTGGAAGTATCTTTGACTAATATGAAAAACAAACTTGCAAATCATTGACTTACGCTCTAATTGAAAGTGGACGACAAGTCAAAATTGCGTAGATCTGTTATTCATGAATTAGATCACTTAAAAGAGGAACAAGACAGGATGAATCAATAAAAAAAAAAAAACGTATAAGTAGGTTGACGAAGTTGTAAATTTACTACAAGCTATGACAAATTTTCTAGTAAATGGTCTTAATTTGGTCGCACAAAAATGCGGTGGGTTGATGAGATGCGTACGCACTAATACAACTTAAAACGATTTAAATAATGATTTGTTTATTAGTGAAGGCAATTGCAGAAAAACACACTTATATTAACCTTGATCGTGAAAAGGAAAACTGTTGTCGTAAGTAGTAGGTGGTACGGCATAATATACTGGATGTTATATGAGATAATGTGGAAGTGTGGGCTGTAAAGCGTTTTCAATCAAAAACTTTTGTTGTTGCGTAGGCATCGTAATGTGTAATAGGAGCATACATTCGGTTGATTGTAAAATTTATGAGGGTGTTTAAAAGTAATGTTTGATTTAACGTTGCCCTTAGTTTAGTATACCTGTAAATGTATGATATGAAAGATGCGGTAGCGCTTTTCGTCAGTGGAATTCGTGACCGAAATTCCACGCTTCGTTCGCCATAAAGAGAGAATGAAATGGTAGTTGGAAGATCGGACCGGTTCTCTTTTGGGATATCCTTTGTGCCCAAATAACGAAGGTCACCTGCTTTGCAACTATTGGTTTCGGACTCGAAAATTTCGATGCCAAACGCGTGCCAAATGGACTTTTGTTCTTATTTTGCGGTTTGTACCTTGCAAATGTGGAAAAATCTCTCATCGGTCAGTAATTGCCGAAACTAATGATTTTGTTCCATTGTCTTTGTCATATCTATTGAATTATTGAAGGAAAATAAACGTTTGGGCTTCTATTTCCTAAATATTTGGTATAATGCTCTCATACAAGTTTTATTATTGGTGCGAAAAACATCAGAGTCTGTTGCGGGGAAATATGAAAACCATTTGCGATTTTGTCTCTCAGTTCGTTTCATATACGTCGACTGATTTTCTTTTTTTTTTTTTAAGTACACACATACGTTGACACATGGGCATAATATGCCATGGAAGCAGTTCATGGCCAGGGTCATGTTTGTCGGTGCGAAACATTTTTAATTCCAGCTGTTTGAACGCTGCGCTGCCTGTTTGAAAATGCTGGCCATTGAACTTGGTCTTTTTTCTTTTTCATTGCACTTTGTCCAATTTATTCACGAAAAACTTAATTATT